TCTGTAAACTTTCATTATGAGATCCTTGTCTGAGATGCTATTGCCAAATGATTGTTCCCTGTCAGTAGGTTTTCTTTTTACCCTACTGGAAAAAGTTTTTGATGAGCACACAGATTTAATCTTTTGACGGTCCTATTTATCAATTTTATCCTCTTCAGATTGTGCATTTCTAGCTGTATTTGGCAGTCACTCTATAACGTAGACTAGGTATTTCAGTTTGTCTCTAATAAACTTTATGGTTTGGGGCTTTATTCCCAGGTGAATGGTCCACCTCGAGTTGATTTTTTTCGTATGATATGAGATGTGGATCCTGTTTCAGCATCCTGCAGTTAGCAGTCCAGTTTTGCCAGCACCATTTGTTGAAGAGACTGTCATTTCCCCATTTGATAGATTTTATTTCCTTATCAAATATCAGTTGACTGTAGATAAATGGGTCCATTTCTGGGTTCTCAATTCTGTTCCATTGGTCTCTGTTCTGTCACTGTACCAGTACCAGGCTGTTTTGGTTACTACTGCTATGTAGTAGGTTTTGCAGTCAAGGAGTGCTAAGCCTCCCACTGTATTTTTGTTTTTCAGAAATGCTTGCTTATTCAGGGTCTCTTTCCTCTCCAAATAATCTTAACAATTTCCCTAAGTTCTCCTTGAAAAATGAATTTGATATCTGTATTGAGATTGCACCAAACATGTAGAATGCTTTTCATAGGACTGTAAGTTTCACAATCTTCCTAGCCATGAACAGGGAACATTCCTCCATTTATTTAGGTCTTTTATCGTAAAACACAGTTCTTGAAGGATAGCTATGTAAATCCTGTGACATAATTCAAATGTGTCAAAATTTATATAAAAGCTCTGTGTTTCATCATAGGGAGATCTGGTGGCCTACTGGTAAGAAGTTGTGCTGCAATTTCAAAAGCACATGGTTTGAATCCAACAGCTGCTCCAGAAGAAAACTCCTCCTTATCCAATTTAGTGCCTCGGAAAAACCCCCTGGAGGGTCAGCTATGAGATGGTTCCAACTCAACAACACACGATAACAACAACATGTTTCACTATAGGTCTAAGAGCTCTTAGAATGAAAGACAATTATTTTTTAGAATGGAATATTTTTTATCACTTTAAAAACATCAAGTTACAGAGCAAAGGCTGCATAGTGGAGTGGACCTGCAGCGAAGGGATTGTAAAACAATGGAAAATTTTTCTTTTACTTTTCCAAGAGGGGACTGTACTTGACGGAAGGGTTGGGCAAAGAGAAAAGTGCAAAAATGAGTGAATGGAAATCCAAAGTTTCTGTAAATTTTCATTGAAACTAATAATAAAAAATTTTATTTTAAAAAGTAAAATTAAAGTTAATCACTACATGTGTGGGGTCAAGGGTTTACTGTTCAAAATAATTTCTTAGTCATTGACTGACTTTGGATTTGCCACATGGATTGGTGGGATCATAGAATTAGGGCTTATTAGTTTATCCACAAGGGACTGGCTAGACTTGCTATTGCACTAGACTTAAATGGAGTGCTTTCAGCAACAGAAATTGGGAATCTCAAAACCAACAAGAGAAAAGCAGCAGCCAAAGTCCTTTGAAGCCAGAGATTCCTACCCCAGCCAGACCAGGATCTACACAAGGGCAATAGCAGCCTCAGCAAAGAACCAGAGACTAACATGAAACACCGTTGACTGGGGACTGCTGCACTGCAGTCATATACAGAGGCTTTCATCCAAGCCTGCTGGAGGACTTGGCAGACCCCATAGTTAGCAGGGCTAAAGGAACTGTGTGACAATAATCTAAGCCATAAGGCTTAATGTCAAAGGGCCTATAACCCTGCTTGAGAAGCTGACTGAACTACAGGCTTTTAACTTCCCTAATAAACTCATAACCATGACTGTGGTTTTGTGAAGTCTGTATAGTCATGGCAATGGATTTCAGACGCAGTAAAGCACTAAGATTGTTGTTGGGTATAGTATTAGCACATGCAGGAATGTGGAGACTATGTCTGACTTTGACTTTAAGGAATTAATTTTTTATTGTAGAAGTTGTTGATGAGGACAGTTACCCTTTGTGGAGTTAGTAGAGGTCAAATATGGCCACCTTCATATTGTCTATACACTTTTTATAATGTGGCAGAGATAGAAGAGCTTTGAAGCATATGCGCCAACAAGCCAGAGAATAAAGTTAAGAGGCTGAGAGCCAGAAAGACCCACCTTTGGGCATGGCTAAGAAGAGGGTTCTCAGACTTCTGAGTTGTTTCTTGAGTTGTGCTTGACCCTCAATTATAATTTGCTACTTCCTTAACAAACTTAAATTGTGAGTTCTAAGCTCCACAATTCTTCTCTTCTGCTATTGCAATGAATTATCAAGCCTAGCAGAAAAGCATTCCTTGGCAGAATTATTTAGAATTTGTACTAGAAGGATACACTGGTAGTGGTGGAAGGGCTGAAAAATGGGAATCAGACAATACTACCCTCATATGCACACCCACATTTCCACAAATGAATTGGCCAGGAGTGAGTAATATCCTTCTATTTCTGATAGTGGAAAACACCCTTATCTCAAAGATTATACACAAAATAGACAATGAGAATTTTAATAGATATACTTGGTAATTTTCAAATCAATAAATGTCAGACAAGTAAGAATTTTACGTCTTTATGGAATTACAAGTAGAACACAGTATACAAAAACTAATTACTTATGTCTCTTCATGTTACAAAGACGTATTTTTCCCCTGGGATATAAATGCTGGTTGGACCTTCCAAATAGTTAAGGTTTATGCAGAGTCACAGAACATTGTCAGAGGCAAATAGAAGTGCCCAAAGTCATGGGACTATGCAGGGGGATAGCTGAGTCCACTAGCCTAGTTTTCTAACTCTATGGTCAGTGCCTCTTTTCATTTTTCAAGTTTTTAATGCCCTATCTGAGAATACATGTCAGAACTACTTAATATGTCCAACTGAGAAAATCAGCAGTAAAACTGAAGAGATAGTTAAACTTACTCATTCACTGCCCTCAAATCAGAACCAACTAAGAACTGACCGACCCTCCAGCAGGCCTTCTTTCAGAGCCTGTAAATAAACAGCATGAGAGGAGGCTGCCCATCTTTCTCCCTCAGAGCAGGAGGTAGAGTCAAACTGTCAGCTCTGAGCTGGGAGCACAACTCTCTAAAGACCAGGTCCACTGAAAGTTGCCTTTTGATTTATAATTTACTATCATTAAAACTATAAGCATTACAAATAAATACTAAAGCCTAAGATGAAATAGTTCTCTGATATAATAGTTGTGTTAAATTAAAGCATATATTGCTAGTTAAATTAAAGCACATATTGCTATGTCCATACTCTATACTTTAGTCAAACAGCAAATGAGATAATGCAGTAGCTAAGGAAAAAAATCAATTTTTCACCACTATAAGAAATTTTTTGTACAGTATCACTCATATCACACACAAGCAAAATCCTGCTGAAGATTATGGAACAGTACATTGACAGAAAACCACTAGAAATACAAGCTGAGTTTAGAAGAAACCATGGTATTAGGACATTATCATCAATGTGAGATAGATCTTGGCAGAAAGCAAAAAGTACCAGAGGGATATATCTCTCTGCTTCACTGACTATGCAAAAGCATTTAATTGTGTGGATAACAACAAATTATGGTTAACCTTGCGGAGAATGGGATTCCCAGAACACTTAATTGCACTTGTGCGAACCCTGTACTTGGACCAGGAAGCAGTCCTCAGAAGAGAGCAGGGAAACACTACATAGTTCAAACTTAGGAAGGAAGTGCATCAGGGATCCATCCTGTCTCCATACCTCTTCAATCTATATGCAGAACAGATCATTCAGGAGGCTGGGCTTTATAAGGAGGAATGTGCTATCAGAATTGGAGGAAGACTCATCAATAACATTCGTTATGCAGATGACCCAACCTTGCTTGCTGAAACTGAGGCCAACTTGCAGCGCTTGCTGCAAAATGTCAAGGCCTGTCGTCTTCAACACAGACTGAAGTTCAACATAAAGAAGACAAAGATTTTCACCACTGGGCCAGCTGACAGCACCAGATGGATGGAGAACAGATTGAGGTTGTTAGCAGTTACAGCTTGCTCAGCTCCACAATCAACACTCTAACCACCAGCAGTGAGGAAATCAGTGAGGAAATCAAAGGACGAACAGCATTAGGTAAAAAACCTGTCAGGGACCTGAGTACCGAGAAGTAACAATGTCAGTCTAGAAACAAAGGCGCACCTGAGGTGTGCCTGATCCAGGCCATGGTCTTTGCAATTGATATGCATCAGAGAGCTAGACAATGACTAAGGATGACAGAAGAATTGATGCCTTCGAGTTGTGGTGTTAGAGAAGTGTCTTGAATATGCCATTGACTGCCAAGATAACAAGTAGGTTTGTCTTAGACAGGGTGAAAGCAAGTTTCTCCTTGGGGGATGGGATTTTGAACCTCCATCTCACATACTATGGGCATGTGGCCAGGAGGAACCAACCCTTGGAGAAGGAGATCATGCTCAGAAGGATGGATGGACCACACAGGAGAGGAAGACCCCAAATGAGATAGATAAAGTAACCAGGGCAATGGAGGTAGGTGTGAAACTGGCTCAGGACAGGGTAGGCTTCAGAGCTCTTATACATAGAGTCACAGTGAGTTACGAGTGACTCTACAGCACATAACAACACGAACAGTAACATAAAAACTACATACATATTGCTTAATAACTCTAAGTTATAAAAAATTTCTGTACTTCAAAATATTCCATTGGATTAGATTAACAGAAATAGATTAACCAAAAGTATTGCATTATAGTGACTAACTGAATGTTAAGATTTCTGATAAAAAGTCTACAAATTATTTTCAAAATAGTAAGATTCACTACAGTGTATCCCTGACCAGCAATGTTAAGAAACAAAGGAAGTTAGAAATAAAATTAAACTTAATTTAAAAAAAAATTATAACATTATTTAAATATATAGCACTAACAAATTCACTGGAAACTTACCCTACTGGAGGGGCTGACATTCCTTTATGGGATGGAGATAAGGTCTGAAGTTTGTTTCCCACAGAGCTGCTAACAGGAGACACTTTACTTGAAGGCATACCTTGTACAACAAGAACAACAAAAATAGTTTTAAAAACATTCATAAGAGAAAAAAATCATATAAAATAGAGCAAAAGCATCTAACAATATAGCATCTAACAAGATGAAACCCACACTTCAGTAACAAGGTGGCAACAAACCAAATCAAGCTATATCTTAAAAAAAAAAAAAAACCACCAATGGGTAGGGAGTGAGGGAAATTAAAGAATTTCTTCTTGAAAACAATGCATTCGAATTTTATAAATAAAATAGTATACGCTTTTTTAAAAAACCTAAAAAATCATTAAAAGTTCCCAACAGACAATACATAACATTATTTATAATTTCTAAACTATTTTCTTACAATTTACACGTAAATAAAGCCATACTTTGCCAAATACCAAATCCAAACTAGTAATGTCTATGAGAGGCAGTGGAAAAGTTCAAAAAGGAAGGAGGAGGAAATGAATGAAAAGTACTGTGATCAAAAATAACAAACTTGGTTAATTGTTTTAAATAAAACATACACTAATAATATAGGGAAAGAACAGATATTTAAGCTAAAAAATCAAATATTTAAACAAGGAACTTTATTTTTAGCCAGAGGTAGTTATTTTCTTTTTAGCCAGAGGTAATTATTCACCTTCCATTATCTCTTTCATAATTCTTAATGCATTTTAATTGTACAAAATAAACCACTATCTTAATTTCCTTCCCTATCACCACTGTAATTTTAAAAAGTTAAGATGTTTTCTAGGTCTCATTACCTATGCCAGACTTGTTACTGCTACTGGGCTGTGGTAGTCGTGAAGATCCTGAAGATGTGGTTCCAGGAGAGTTTGATTTTTTAAGTGCAGGGGGCTTATACTAACATAGAATAAAAATAAAAACATGTTTTTAAGCATCATTTTTAATTATGGATTAAAAAATAAAATGTAAAAAATTCTTTTAAATTAACCATTTTTCATTAGCTATTCAATTACCTAAATTAAAAATAACAAAAGGTGCGATCGTAGGGAAGAGGCACTAAATTATGTTCCCAGCCAAACACGTATAGATATCCCACTACTAAAAAAACTCCAAAAGTAACTTTTTCTAAATTCAGAGGGAAAACATAGGTTAGCAGAGATAATTTCCTTAATATAAAGATTTTAAACAAAAAAGTATAAACAGAAACCTTCAGAAACTCCTGATTACTAGTGGTCAGAATGCAAACTCATTGCCATTGAGTTGGAATCATCTCTTAGCTGAGCCTCTAGAGGGTTTTCAGAGGCTGTAAATCACATAGGAGGAGAATGACCATCATCCATGTAGTCACTGATGGATTCAAACAACCACAATTGATTTTGTAGTTCAACTCCCTTCCAACTAAGTCCCCACAGCTCTCTTTATTGTTAATAGGTTGGCTTTAATGGTTAAGATCTTTGCACACTCCTAATTAAGATTACACATCAGTCTGGTCAAGTTCTACAATGGCCGTCTTCTGTACTAGAAATGAAATCTCTAAAGCATCTGGCAAGTAAGTACAAGTCATTCTAGAAATGTCTGTTAGATGAACAGACAACTAGGTAACCTTGGTGTATCAGCCATAGAAAGACACTGCTTCTTTAAGATGTTATGGATATTCCTTTTTAAAGGAATTCACAAGCATTTCACACTAAAATATCAATGAAAACAGTTGCAAAGATTTTAAAGCTAGCACAACATGGAACATAAGACAAAATATTAAGAGGCACATCTTAAAACCTAAAAACAAAAAAAACCTTAAAAAAAAAAACCACAAAAAAACTAAAAACAGGGCCACTAAAATTTGATTTAGAAACAGAACTAAGTGACCTGTTCTTACAGTGTCATCTACCAAAAACAAGGCAGTCTATTAGCAGTGTATTTCACACTGAAGAGGTCAAACCTACCGGGGGGGGGGCGGAGGGGAGGGGGGGGGTGCACACAGGTAAGGAGGGTCAAGTGAAGGCAGTAATGAGAGACTTCATGTAAACCTTGACATAAAGAACTAAGGGTTTTACATCCATACTAGAAATTATTATTCACTTGGCTTATATTGCTTAGGAAGAGGCAGAACATACTTTTCAAAAGGCACTCTGCTTCCCTTTCTCTATTTTACAAGGTATCTATAGAGATAAATTTGTAGGTAACTACAAATCATGCTTTCATCTTTGCAATGATTAATTTCTCTGGAACTTAAACGTCCCATTTACTTATTTATTTACTCAAAATAATCTTTTTAGACATTCTGCTATTTCCTATTACTTTCACAAGAAGCAGTGAGTCTCATTAGTGAATCCATACCCTCTCTAGTTTGAAAGCATCTTGTATAAAACACATTCACCTGCTTCTCAGTAGCACGCTGTTCACCTGACCTAGATAATATGACTCCTTCCTTACTCCACTGTTGCTGTGTTCTATCAGTTCTACAATATCCAGCTGAATGTCTACTTGTATTAAAAAAACTTTAAAATGAAATCTGCTATCAGTATATTTGCATACATTTCTCTTAATGATCAAAAATACTAAAAATCACTTTATTTTATACTACTCAACTCACTTCAGTCTAACTGGAACCAAGTCATAGCTGACCCTTCAGAGGCTACAAATCACACAGGAGTCTTCCCATACTTCAGTTTGCTGATAGATTTGAACCACCTGCCTTTGGATTGACAGTGTGATTCCCTATCCACTAGTCTGTCAAAACACCTTCATCTTTAAAATTATATTTGATATTTATCAAACAATATCATTAATATCTCATGCAAGCAAAATACTGAAGATTATTCAAAAACAGTTAAAACAATACATAGATAGGGAACTGCCAGAAGTTCAAGTAGGATTTAGAAGAGGCCATAAACCAGAGATGTCAATACTGATGTCAGATGAATCCTGGCTGAAAGTAAAGCATACCAGAAGATTGTCTATGTATGCTTTATTGAATATGCAAAGGCATTTTGCTGTACGGATCATAACAAATAAATATTGTTGTTGTTTTTGTTGTTATGTGTCATCGAGTCTAGAGACCCTATGTACAACAGCCCTAAACTCTGCTCTGTCCTATGCCAATCGCAGCGTCTCTGATAAACCTATCCTGATTACCCCAGTCACTGAATCAATCCACCTCATAGAGGGCCTTCCCCTCCATCCTACCAAGCATGATGTCCCTCTCCAAGGACCGGTCCCTCCTTACAACATGTCCAAAGTACATTAGACGGAGCCTCAGCTTCAGAATCCTTGCCTTCAAGGAGCCACCCGGTTTAACCCTTTCCTGGATGAATCTGTTTTCCTAGCAGTCCATGGTACCCTCAATACTCTTCTCCAGCACCACAGCTCAAAGATGTACAACAACAAATGATTATTAGTTATAGTAAACTTACACTAATGGACATTTGTAAGTTAATGTGCATAACAATTATAAAACATATTTTATAATCATTTAAAATATATTTTAAAAGATGCTAATCCATAAAGATATTAACACATTTCAAAAAAGTCTAAAAATCACAGAAAATATGATCTGCAATTTAAAAAAAAAAAACCAAAACAATAAAAAGTTAGAAATATCTACACAGGGATTGCTAGGAAGAGATAATTCAACAGTATAGCTGGATACAAAACAGAAGTTAACAGTGTTTCTGTAAGGCAATGAAAAGAAGCTGTGGAGACCTAGTGGTAAGCAGTGCTGCCATACCAAAGGCATATGGCTTAAACTCATCAGCTGTTCTGCAAGAGAAACTTCTACAGTCCCCTCTCATACAATTTATTGCCTCTGAAAACCTACTAGAGGGCTAGTAATGAGTCTGTTCTAACTTGATGACACATAACAATTAATAAGCCAATAAAAATTTTAAAAGAAAAAACTAAAATTTATAATAGCACAAAAATATTAAATACTTAATAGAATAAAACTTATGAACACCTACTAAGAAAACTGTATAACTTATTAAAAAGTAATAAAAGATGTTTATAAATGGAGAGACATACTGTACACCTATTGGCATGTCAATTCATCATCAACTGATCCAATGTAATACCAAACAAAACTTACTTGGGATTTCTAAGTGTGCATATGTATACGTTGAAAGCTGATTTCAAAACTTAAGAAATATGAGCTGCTTCTTGCCTAAAAGTTCAAAAATAGCTTCAGGATTTGACCCAGGTACTTGCACCATGGATATGACTCATATAAACTGATTTGCAAATATTTTTTAGTGCTATTTCTGCCATCCAGAACAATCTGTTTTCCTTTGAATCTAAGTCACCTATCGTTAATTTTTTTGTTTGTTTAATTTACGTTACCTATCTTTAGCTTTGCTTTTGTTTCTTTTTAATCTTTTCTCCTACTACTTCTATCAGTAAATTTTCAAGTCCCTGGAAAGTCACTTTAAAGTTCATTCCAAATTCATTAGTTTTTTGTTTTTTTTTCTCAACAGGCCACTTGAATTTATTAGCAAACCCATAAAAGTATATATTTATTTTAGCAAAATAAAAAAACAAGCTACATCTCCTATAGGGACACAAAATGATGAAATTCAAAGAACTCTTTTCTCATTTATTGGAGAGATGTTTAAATGTGGGCACAGTACCTGTGCACGAGAGGCTGGTTTCCCTTTGGTTTCAGTAGAAAATTTTCCTTTATTACTAATACGTGCTGCTTGTTCTTTACAGAAGTTAATATGTCTATCAGCTGCATTTTCATTGAATCTCCTCTGGCAATATGGACACTGAATATAATCTGAAAATAAATAAAAACAAAGATTAGTAAAATAATATTTTAAATAAGATAAAGAACCATAAAAGCGTAATTCAAGGTACAGAACATCTGATAAGAAAAATCTCCATTTTCCTCATAACTACCCTTGTCTGAAGAAATTCATACTCTATAAAGACTATTATTAAGAACAAAAGTTTGTTGGTACTGGGAGAAAAAAAAAAGTAAAAAAAAAAATCAACACAACAGAGACTGAATAAGCAAAACAAAACATATTAAAAAAATCGAATATCTGTCAAGTCTATTCCAACTCATGGTTACCACATACATAGTCTGAGTAGTAGGGGCATAATGCCTTTTTTGTCTCTTTAGGTTGTGTGTACATATTGTGTATGTGTGTGTGTGTGTGTATAGCACTCTGGTGACCTAGTGGCAAAGAAATGCACTGCCAGCCTGAAGGAACTTGGTTCAAATCCACCAGCTGCTTCGAAGACTAAGTATGGGCAATCTCCTCCCATGCAATTTACAACCTCTAAAAACCTGCTAGAGAGTCAGCTATGAGTAGGTTCTGACTTGACAGCATACAACGTGTGTGTGTGTGTGTGTGTGTGTATTTATATGCATGTGTATAAACACACATACACATATCACTAGTTAAGCAAGGGAATCTATGATTAAAAGAACACATTCTATTAAAAATATATTTTAAAATATAGATTCATCTATTAAAATATTTTCATATCAAAAACACTAAGGCATGGCTGACTCAACTTTGTAATGTTTATTCTCTTGGATATTCAAACAGATGTTAGGAGTTACAAAAATATACTTCATTAACACAATGGATTAAATTCAAGAAACAGCAAATGTTTCCAAGTCAAATTATTCTCCCAAAGGCAAAATGTGCAAATTATACTGATAATAATTACTTCTTGAAATTAAACATGAAATTATCTCAGATGGAGGAGTTTTCCCTTTAGACTTTATACTTGTCCAAAGCTCACAAGTTGGTCTTGCCTACTAGAGGAACAGTTCTCAAACCTAATCTCCAGGTGGTAGTGTGTCAGATTCAAAGGCACTAAAAAAAGTTTCTAAAGCCCAAAGCAATATAAAAACTTTCATTCTGTCCCTGACATTATGTAGACATGAAAAATGCAGCTATGTAGAGTCAGACAGAAAATCCAATTACTCCCAAAGCAGGAAATTCAACTTCAGACAGAAAATAAAGGCAGAGTTGGAAATGCCTATCTAGAAACACAGATAAGTTATTAACTAAGTTACTAACTAATCCTCTAGGAGAGAAAAACTATAAAGAAAGAAATCTAGCCTCTTGTGTAAAGTTTTAGTAGAATAAAGTTATTTATACCTATTAGTTTACAAATATTCTATAGCTGATTTTGTGCAACAGTGACAGAGTTAGCTGAACAGTTGCAACAGAGACTTTACGGCATTCAAAGCCCAAATCAAGTATTTCCCTCTTTAGAGGAAAGGTTTTCTGAACTATACTGGAATATTAAAAAATGATCAGGTATACATTTTCTAGAGAACTCTGGTTTTGCTAACAATTTTATTATGGTTAAAGCACTATAATCTCTTTAGTCTACCCGAAGAACTAATGTGTCAAACGTGCTAAGGCTTTCAATTGCCCAATATATCAAGAGATTATGAAAAATCTTCCTTTGATTTTGGTAACAATAAATCCAGTAACTTTCATCCACTTAATGAAGAAAATATCAGCATTGAAGGTATAATTTGCATATATCCATCAACTGCTACTTTTACCACATGAATCTTGTAGTTTGAAAGCGAAATGGATTATCTTTTACTTTTCCAGATAAGAAGAAATTAAGTCTAGGGAGCTCTGGTGGTCTAGTGGCAAGAAGCTGCAATGCAATCCCAGAGGTACGTAGTTAGAATCCACCAGATGCTCTCCTGGAGAAGAAGGGGCAATCTCCTCCTGTACCAGTCAGATTTGATTTGATGTACACACAAAAAAAATAATAAATTTTTTTTTTAATTTAAAAAAAAAAGAAATTAAGTCTACCTTTAACTCACAATGTAAATAATGAAAATATTTCTGGGAATGTCACCATTTTATATTCAATACAATAATTTTAAAAACATTATAATGCTTCAAATATATAAATAAAAGTATTTCCATAAAATTGTAATGCAGTTCTATTTCTAAGCCAAGGTGCTTTTACAGGTCTAGAGACTGTTCTATAATTATTTGATATCAATACATTTAAAGATTATACCTCAAGTTCTATTACTATTAATTAGCTTAAAACTTAAATTTTTGAAAAATTTTATCAATAGTTTCACTCCACCTGAGAATTTCTACCAGTAAACGGACATACCAGGATCATAGGAAGGTGGAGGCGGGGGTGGAAGTTTGCCTCCCTCTTTAAGTGCCTGATCCAGCCCTTTCGCTGCTCTTATGGTGGCAATGAATTCTTCATGTTTTCTTCTCCAATTAGAAGGTTTCTTTGGTGGTTCTGGCTGCAAATTAATACAGTATCAAAATTTTTTCAATAGAATTAGTTCATTTCAATTATTTTACATGGTCATTTATCAAGAGCTCTTCCTGAATTTATAACTTAAAAAGAAACTTTCTGAACCACAGCAAATTTTTAAATTAACAAATCAAAATATTATGTAAAGAATAAACGATACACTATTATAATTTTAGCTATTCAACAAATAAATCAGGTCAAGAGTTTGCCTCTACCTCTTTTGTTCTTGGATGGCAAACCCCGGTAAGCAAGTTCTCACTTAATAGTCCTTTAGGACTGAGAATTGCCCCATAAGATTTCCAAGGCTATCTTTTCACACTGTCACATCTTTTTTCCTATGGCACAGCTGTAACCTGTTGGACTACCAACCTGTCAGTTAGTACTTCAAACTAGTCAATATTATATAGAATTCATTTCTTACTAGGATTTCTAAGTATTTAAAAACAAAAACATAAAACACCTCATTGCGTTTGATTCAGAACAGACTCAAAGCGGCCCCTGCAGCATGTTTCCAGATGCTGTAAACTACGTGTAAAGAAAATGCTCATCTTTTTCCTTCAGAGCAGCTGATGGATTCAAATAGCAAGAGAAGCACTGCCCTTGAGTTAGTGGAGCAAGTCGCTAGAGACTACCTCACCAAAGATTAAGTAAGTAGTTATCTGTAATTCTCTCATACAAACCAAATCTCATTGTCGTGGGATTTTCAAGTTTCCAGCTACTCTGTGGGACAAATAAAAACAGTCTCTTCCTTCAAAATCCAAGGACTGCCCATCCTCCTCCCACAGGGTAGTAGCCAATGAATTGGAATGTTTTGGCTAGCAGCGCAACAGGGAAAACACCATGCCACCAGTACTCCCTCCCAACAAAACAGGCTATTTAAACTTGTCAACTAATAAAGCCTCAATTATTAATATTGATACTTTTCACCATTCATCTCCTCTGTCAATATGATTAAATAATGCCAACAAAAGTATATACAATAGAACATTATGTAAGAAATTAGGATACCTTCATACAAATAAATACTGCATGTGAAAACAGAAACTATAAAGCACACTTTCAATAGGTCACCTTTTTTTTTTTTTTGAATGGGAATAAATATGCATCTCTTCCAGTTAGTTGGCCACATAATTGTATTCCAGATTTCTTGGCACAACCTCCATTTTTTTTTTGTTGTTATTGTGTGCTATTAAGTCAGAATCAACTCATAGCTGGCCCTCTAGTGGGTTTTCAGAGGCAGTAAACTGCATGGGAGGAGACTGCCCATCCTTCTCCCACAGAACAGCTGGTAGATTCAAACAGCATGTCTTTGGGACTGCAGGTCAGCTTCTCACCATGAGAACACCAGTGCTCTTTACTCTCCTCTTAAATATTTATAAATTAAAAATCAATATAAACATTTAATTTTCTACTGTAAAATGATTTATCAATAAGATTAATTTCTCTATAAAGAAAAGTTCTTCCTCTACTATTGAAAAATTTTAATGTCACAGAAAGCATAATGCTGTTTCAAAAGCTTGTTTAATCAGGTGCTTAACTTCACCTACTTCACTGAAGTAACTAAAACATATGTCAGAGTATTTTTTAGGTAGTTTAATCACAGAAATATAAGGTCTGAAAGGGGGTATTGAGAAATAAATATCACAGGAAGTTCACCACTATGGCTCTAAGAAAGAAAATGAGTTAACAAAGTTATACATGGATAACTGAAAAGGTAAAATTTCTCTGCAAAAAGCCTAAGTTTCATAAATACTGACAACTAACCAAACAAGATAACTGCAGTTAAGAGTACTGAAAATTCCATCTAGTGCCAAAGGAACAATCATTCGTCATGGCTGAAGCTCATTTGCAGCAAGGGTTGTGAAACTGTATCTCACATATCATGTTTTTAAGAGGGGCCAGTTCTTGGTAAAAGACATCATGCTGGGAAAGATGGTGGGTCAGAGAAAGAGAGGACGACTTTCAACAAGAGGGACTAGAACAATGAAGCTAACAAAGTGTTCAAGCATTTCAGAGATTGTGAGAACAGTGCAGAATAGAGCAAAATTCAGGTATTTGCTCACAAGGTTGCTATGAGTTGAAGAAATCTGGACAGCACGTAACAGTAACAGCATGCTAAGATTCTTGTGAGTAGTTTAATATCTTTACATAAGGATCATACCATATATTCAGACTATACATAGTGTTGTTGTTGTTAAGTGCCGTCGACTTGTAGGCGACTCATAGCAACCTATGAACGAAAGACTTGAACATTTGTAAAACTTTCATTGTTTCTCCAAGTTTATAGGATTTCTGGAAGCAAGCTATTTTGGAAATGAATGCCACTCCTGCTTCCAAGATTGTTTTAATTGGGGAGCTCCACCAAACACTGTCCACCATGGGTAACCATTGTTGTGTTTGACGCATCAGTGTCACAGTGTTTAGCATCACAGCAACCAAGAGTTACCTCTGCACAGCAAATGGACTGACAAATGCTATACCACTTAGAAAAACGTTTGACCAAAAATAATTAAAATCAGGCCTGAGGGTCACAGATTAAAACCACCCAATGATGGAATTAAAAAGAAATTCATAAACAAAACTCAGCACAAAAAAAACCACAACAAATTTTTTGTTGAACGAAAATTCTCAATAACCTTAAAAATAGTAATAACAATAAAATGACAGCAATAAATACGTTCTAATATTCACAGTGAATTTAAATTGTTTAACTATACCAGTCAAAAGATAGGAGTGGCAGAAAAGATTAAGAAAAATTTCCATCAAAAGATTGCTTACAAAAGACATGTACAGTAGACACAAAGACATAAAGAGGTTAAAAACTGAAATGTGAGGACTGAAATCTCAAGAACAGTAACCAACAAAATAGCAGAAATAGTAATATTAATCTTATACTAATTCTATTTCAAGTAAAAATTTATCAGAAGAGAAAAACATCAGCATTATATAATGATTAGAGTCACTCTACCTAGAGAAGACTTGACTGTAATAAACATTTGTGTGCTGAATGATAAAGCTCTAAAATATATTATACAAACCATATCTGTATTGAAAAAAGATATAGTACCACAATACCAGTGTGGCTTTAATATACCATTGTTGATGGAAAAATATAATAATGAGAAGCATAACAAAGATACAGAAGCTCTAAATAATATAATCAATTAACCTGACCTTAAGGACATCTACAGAAAATTCCCCATAAAAGCAACATAATTTTCTCCAAAGTACGTAGACCATTCTCCATAACAGATGGTATTTTAGGTCACAAAGCAATTTCTGATAAATTAAAAATAAACACTGGAAAAAAGAAAAAGCATCTTCTCTAATTATAATGATTTAAGTCTTATTAATAATAAGCAGAACAATAAAAGTTGTTTATACAGGGTCTGAATAATACCTTGCTTAACAACAAATGGGAAACAAAAGAAATTAAAAATTAAATTTTAAAATTTCCTAGAATCAAATGAAAATGAAATGGAATACTGTGCAGCACTGAAAAGTAATTAAATACTCAAGCATTACACAACATGGGGGAAGCCTTGAGGACATTATGCTAAATCAAATATCCCAGTCACAAAAATACTGCATTAACTCTGCTGTTATAAAATAGGACAGACATGGGTGGGTTGGAGAGAAATGGGGAAAGAATAGATAGCTAATGGGCACTGCATTAAAACAGATGACAGGAAGAACTGTTTGAAAGGAACATATAGTAGGAGTTGAATATTTTACATTTTTTAAATAAAAATTGAGTTCACTATGAGTCCATACTGATATCTATTTAAAATGAATATGTTTGTGTGGGCAATATATACACACAAATATTACAGTTATTCTGTTATAAAGTATAACCAATTTAACAAATTGTTAAGTGAGAACTTATTTGCTAAACTTTCTCCAACACCAAAAAAAGTATATTTAAATTCAACTCTTAAGTTAATTTTCCAATCAATTTTTACATTGAGATAGATCTTTTTAAATTAAAATGAATCACATCTTATTATGACAGCAAAAAAGAATTACTGAATCACATTAACTGAAAAACTACAGACCATTTACTCAAAAAGTAAAAGAATATCCTTAACATCAGAAAAGGAGCCTGTAAATCTGCTCTTTCAATTTTTAGAAATCGAAATAGAAGATTATATACAAAAACAGTGGAGAACAATGAAAGGGACAAAAATTATGCCAACTCGAGTTTTGGTAATTAGCCTGGGCAGCAGAGTCCGAAAGACTAGTGAAATTCAAGTAAATAAATGGTCAATAGTTATAACAAATCACCATGCTAAGAGGCAACAATAATTCAAATATTACCCTTAAAATAACTTATCAAGAATATATGAGGACTTTTTCTTCTAATGATTTTCTACCTAGAACAAAACTCTACAATGCTATAAATAACTTACAGCCATTTCTGGCCTCTGACACACTTTAGTCACTTCTTCAAGTTTAGTGCATGACATGGTATAATTTCTTTTGCTCTTCAAAGTTAGTATAACACCAATACAAGATTTTTTTTCCCAGTGTATACAGTACCAAAGTAAATACTTATCAAAAGGATTTATGTAATTACCCTAGGCTTGAGAGGTTTTACTGTTGGGATATCAGTTCCTTCAGCTCTCTGTCTGCTTGAATCAAAAGTCTTCCGTTTTTTAGTGGCAGTTTTCTGGCAAATAGGTCCATGTTTTTTCTGTTGAAATCAAGAAATGCAATATATCATCTTCTTTTCTAAATATGAGAAAACTATTGTACTTTACATTTTCACCTGAAATTAGCTTAAGAACTTTAAGATCATTTTTAAAACCATATAAATTGTAATAAGACAGCAATATTTTCTTTAACAGAAAAAATATACAATCTACTCAACAACTATTTCCCAAAGCTATTACATACATACTGCCTAACATCTACAGAACTTTTTTGTCTTTTTTCATGTTACAACTTCCAGGAGGTGGGGGTGGGCAAGGGCTTAACACAACTGAAAAAACTACTTTCACCCAAAAAGTGTTAAATATTTTGGAACTTTACTACCATCTTCCATGAGTATATCTACCGCAGTTCAAAAATAGATCCATTTTTCTTCTAAAGATTTTACTGTTATTTCTGTTTTGATCTCCACTATGTCCAATTTCCTTCTCCCAAGTATTTATCTTAACTTGGAAAGAAAATCTTCAGAAGCCACATACTAGGAGGATAAGTTGAGATTGTAACAAATCATATCTATCCATTAGGCTCATTTCTTCATTTTAATAATAAGCTTTCCATATTTTAAGGCATAATTCACATTCATCTCTAAAATTAAAACTGTTACACTTCTAGCTATAACACACGTTACATTATTTCTCTCACAAAACACTAAATGTGCTTTCAAAATTTTAGTGATGTTTAAGGTTCAAGTTTTCTCACTTCTAAAAATAAGGAAGACAATACAATCAATTTAAATCTATTTGGCTTAAAAAAGAAAAATATTTTTTCACTAAAAATTTGGACACAGATAATATAGAAACTATGTAAGTGGAAAGAAATATATTAGTCGTGTTGTTGTTCTTGTTGTTACGTGCCATCGAGTCATTTGCGACTCATAGCGACCCTATGTACAACAGCCCTAAACCCTGCTCTATCCTGTGCCAATCTCACCATCTCGGACACAGCCACCCCAATTACCCCAGTCACTAAATCAATCCACCTCATAGAGGGTCTTCCCTGTTAGGATTACAAAAAATTAGTCAGCATTACTAAATTAACATTTTGGTTTTTGTTGTTACTGTATACCATCTAGTCATATCTGCCCCATAGCAGATCCTCCAGTGGCTTTACCACATAGAGGCAGTTAATCACATAGGAACTGACTGCTCCAGCATTCTCCCACAGAGCAGCTGGTGGATTCGAACCGTGAGCCTTTACCTCAACAGTGCAATTTCTTACCAGTAAGCCATCAGAGCTCTCAAATTAACAGAATTCCCATTAATAAAATTTACATAATAAAAAGTTAACAAAATAAATAAAACTATTGGATCTGTGTTCTTCCTCAATTTTCTTATCTTTTTAGAATTCAATCATTTTACCTTTCTTCACCTAGTCATTTTCTTCAGCTAGACAATAAGGTTATCTATCCAGTACATAAGCTATATATTCCTCTTAAGTTTTGTTGTTGTTTATTGTTATGTGCCATCAAATTGTTCACAACTCATAGCAACCCTATGTGCTCTGAACCCTGCTCTATACTGAGACAATCTTATTGTCATGGACACGCCTACCCTCATTTTCTAGTCACTATGTTAATCCATCTCATCAAGGGTCTTCCCTCCTACACTGTCCCTCCACCCTCCTAAGCATAATGTCCCTGTCCAAGGAGTGGTCCCTCCTTGCAACATGCCCAAAATATGTAGACAGAGCTTCAGAATCCTTGCCTCCAAGAAGCAACCCGGTTTCACCCTTTCCAGAACAAACTTGTTTGTTCTCTTAGCAGTCCATAGTATATTCAACACTCTTCTCCAGCACCATTGCTCAAAGGCATCAATTCTCCTATCATTCCTAAGTTCACCTTTCTGATGCATAGCACATAACACACAGTTGATAAGACCATGGCCTAGATCAGGTGCAACTTGGTCTCCAGAGTTCCACCATTGTTCTTCAGTACTTTGAAGATGTCCCTGACAGCAGACTTTCCCAATGCAATTCGTCTTTCGAATTCCAGGCTGCTGGTACCAAAAGTGTTGATTGTGGAGCCAAGTGCCAACTCAAGAATAAACTCTCATTTAAACGACAGAAGCTTTCTTAATGGACTTTCTCTTAACTTCTTGGATAAATAACAAATTTCTGTATCTTACATATAGCGTGATGACTGATCAGGTTAGTACACTAAATATAAACAAAATGTGTACCACACATGAAAAGAAATGAAACTATTTCCTTTTGTGTTTTAACCAACACTAAAGACATTGGAGCTGTAAACTTTAGCTTGGGGGGGGGAGGGAACAAAATTGACAACTAATTATCTGTGTTGTCATGGCGGAACCTCTTACTATTCGTAATACACAATTAGTAAAAAGAATACTACTTTCGTACACTTGCTTCCAGTTTTCATTTTGACAAGTAAAACTATAATTAGAGTTCTTAGAATAAACTGCCTTTACTACTTACAAAAAAGCAGGTCTAGCATACTACTTTCTAGTGGTGGTGGCAGTGCTGTGGTTAGGTTCCATGTAGTCAATTATGACAACAACTCAAGAAAGGCGAAGTCAGAACGCTGCTCTCTCCTGAACCATCCTCACGATCTGTGACATGCTTGAGCCCACTGGTACAGTCACTGTATCAATTACCTTGAAAAGGAGTGTTCCTTTCTTTCACTGACCCTCCACCTTTTCCACCTTCTAGCAGACACATATGTATTTGTTCCCATAAATTTAGTCCTGATACTTGTTCCTCACACTAATTCTGATAAACACAGGCAAAACCAGAAGCATATCACAACATTTCTTTCAGTGAAAACGTAAACTGAATGCTTGAAGTTTTGAAAAATGATGAACTGATAAGAAAAAGAATAAATAATGTGCAAACAACTCATCTTAGATGGATTAAAAAACCCACACAACTATCATTTGAAAATAATTCGTACTGATCGTGATGCTCATGGATCATTACTGCCTTACTTTGCTTTAAAGAAACATGCTGGAAGCTGCAAGAAGATACGTGGTACGTAACTTATCAGCAAATTCATATTCAAAGAAACAGTCTTCGTCCTACATATGGAGTTTGTCTTTCAATATGGCTTTTCTATCTTTACCTGAATATTGATGACTGACCTATGTGGATGGGCAGAACTATGTAAAAGGGGCCTTTAGCTCTTTTTCTCCCTTAATTAAGACCAGTAATGTAGAATATACTTATGTATCTAAAACTAGATAAGCAAAGTATAATGTATTCTAAGTTCATTTTTATATTTAATAAAAAAGGCATGGTTAGTTTGTTGTTGTTTTTAAAATTTTTTAAGCATCCATAAAAGCTGAAAAATGCTATAAAGAAATTCCACTTTCTCGTGACCCTGCTTCAACAATGATCATTATCTTCACAATTTTGTCTCATCTATCCCCTCTTGGAAATTCCCTGAAGTACTTACAATATGTTAACGAAAAAGTTTTAAAGACCAACTCTTAAAAAAACCAACCAACATGGTATAAAGTAATAGGATGGAGGAACTGATATTCTAGAGCAGAGAACCATATCTAAGAACTCTTCAAATTAGTCCACATAGGTTTTTCACATAAAAATCATCCTGAAACATTAAGCATTTAGTGATCTGTATTGAATCTCAACAGCAAAAAGGTACAAATTAGTCTACTTACTAATGCTACTGGAAAGAATGTTCTTCCACAAATCTTGCAAGGTAACAATTCTCCAACTTGGACAACACTGCCATTTTCTAAAACAGAAAAGAATTTTTAAAATAACTTCTATAGTCAAAACTGTAAAATATCAAGACAAATTTTCAATCCTTTAACAAAATGTCTTCTTTTATTCTGAATAAGCACAATCAACTGAAACTTGTCTAAAACTTAAGAATCATATTAGTAACTATGCTAAGTTTAAAATGTTTATGATTCAAGGGTAAGCAAACTGATACAGTTGAAAAGCACTGGTTATCTTTTAGCTATTTTAATCAAATCAACATGCAATATTTTCTCATCATTTATAGACTATATGTATTATTAAATTTTAAAAATACATACTTCAAGTGAATAATCTCCATTATTCATTATTAATGTCCAAAGTATTAAGAAACAAAATTAATGATTACCTTCTCAAGATTACCTAGGACAATAAAAAGAATTACCTAATTTCTATGCAGAATAAATATAACACATTAATTTCTCAATATTCTTTCCATATAGCTCTTAAGATTCACTAGACCTATTACTGTTTTGACCCTCATGAATAGTATGTTAAATACTCAATTAAAATTCATATATGTATGTATTTGTTTGTGTGTATACATCACATAACTGAACACAGCAAATTTTCATATAAAAAAAAGAAACAGATACACTTGATTCTACAATTCATTTTCTTTCTAGCCAAAGAGCAAACAATAGTCTATTTCTGTATCACAGGGAGGCTCTAGTGACCAGGTGGCAAAAACCTGTGCTGCAATCCCAAAAGCAAGCAGTTTGAGGTCACCAGCTGCTCCATATGAGAAGGATAGGTAATCTCCCATGCAATTAAAATGTCTCTGAAAACCCACTGGGAGGTCAGCCATTGGTCAGGTGTGACTCAATGGTACACAACAACAACACCTTACATAGTCTACAATCACTATGTGAACCTCCACATTGGTTATTTGCTAAAATTCTTTAAGACAAACAGAAAAGCATTTTCTTTCAAAATGGTAAAAATAAAAACACCTATATTCATAATCAACTTTTAATTATTTTTTTTAAAAAAAGAGTACAGCTAACACTCCATATAATGTGTTTTAGGGACTTTTAATGAATTCACCCACCAAAATAGACATTAGTAATGTGTTTTAGGGACTTTCAATGAATTCACAACCAAAATAGACATTAGTGAGAATGTAATCACATACAGAACTTGTAATAGAAATGTTTTGTTCTCTCATTTCCCTAGTATTCCAATGTCCTATTTTTACAGTAGATAGTGACTTATTTGTCATCACCCTGGGAGGTAATTGTGGTCAATGGCAGTTAAGAAGTAGGCTCTATAAAAGCAAAGCTAAGATATGCCTGATCTGTCCTTCTCCAATGCCAGAAGATAGGTTATTCAGGGAGAACAACCTCATTTCCATGATCACTTAATACCATTAACAATCCAGAAAGTTGAGGCAGATGTTGAATGGAATCCAATACTTTCATTAACACAAGAACATCTCATAATGACAGTCAACAAAGGATGCTATATAATCTACTTCACTTGTTTCTAATTTCCATGTATTTTCTGCAGATTGTAAGCAATGATTTAAAAATTCACCAATAGAGATGTGTTTTATTTACTCAAATGAATACAAATGAAACAAACAAAAGCCAATGTCAGTCACTGCTTGAGGACACCACACTTGTTAAGGGTGACAGAAAAATCTGAAGACATTCTGACAGTTGCACAACACATTAATTAACTGAATTGCTAATGCAAAAATGTTGGAATAACTAATGTTTCATTATACTATTTGTACCACAGTGTTGGTAAAATATTGGTACAAGGGAGTACTGGGTTTTCAGAGGAAATAAATCCCACCAGAGATTGTTCATCTTTCTCCCACTGAGCAGCTAGTGGATTAGAACTCTTTGCCTTTGGGATTGAAGCACAGCTTCTTACCAAGAGGCCACCAGGGGTCCCTTTTTCCATGGAGGGGGTTTCATCAAACCAATGTCAAGGCTACTAAATAAATTATTTGCACAAATATTCTTCCAGTCTTAATCACTGAATACATCTCTTATTCTTTCATAAAAAAATTCTGAATGAAATTCACAAAAAAATAATCAAGGTTGTTGTTGTTGTTGTTGTTGTGTACTGTAGAGTCAGAACTGACCCTTAGCTGACCCTTCGTTGGGTTTTCAGAGCAGTTAACAGCATGAGAGATTGACCCATCCTTCTCCCACTTGAGCAGCTGGTGGACTTGAACCATGTGTCTTTGGGATTTCAGTGCAACTTCTTGCCACTATACCACCTGAGCACATAAAGCAAGGTAGTATACTAGTAAAAACATTTTATTTAGAATATCATATCCATATACAGTGGCTTTGGTTACTTTATTCCAACAAAAGATTAATCACTATTGCTAAAAAATTAAAAAGTACCTTGTACTTACGTAAAAAAAAAAAATCAGTATCTATTTGATAAATACACGACAAAGGAAAGTCTTGGAGAATTAACCCTTAAGAAAATGTAATTTAACATAAGGAAATGCCATTTATTCACCTAACATATTTAGTACTGAAGGCCTATTTGGGGACCTACCTACCTGCCAAGTATATATCATGTAACATGGCACAAAGGTGAATGATACTAACAACTACTATGCTCCTAATGCTAACACTTTATATTTAAGAGTGTTATATTATTAATTTTTTCAGATTTAAACTGAACATAAAAGTGCCTTAATACTACGATATATTAAAATGATAAGTGTTATACTCCTGTTACCTAAGAGAAAATCACTATGAATTGGACTGGACCAGAAAACAATTGCTTTTAGTTGTTTTTATTGTTGGTGGGGTGAGATGATATCTCATCATTCTTTTTATTTGCATCTAATAGCTAATTTTACTTGGATCCACAACTTGATACTAGCAATCAAGAGATCAAGAGTCATGGAGCTCTGGTGGCCCAGTGGCAAGAAGCTGTACTGCAATCCCAGAGGTGTGCAGTTCAAATTCACCAGATGCTCTGCTGGAGAAGGAGGGGCAATCTCCTCCTATACCTGTCAGATCCAATTTGACGGTACACACACAAAATAATAAAATAAAATTTTTTAAAAAAAGAGATCAAGAGACATATCACATTGGGAAAGTCTGCTGTCAGGGACCAATCCAAATTACCTAAGAGCAATGACGTCAGTTTGAAGACTAAGGTGCACCTGTTTCAGGCCGTGGTCTTCACAATCACTTGCTATACATCTGAGAGCTAGACAATGAATAAGAATAATGAAGAATTATAGATGCCTTTCAATTGTGGTATAGGAGAAAAACACTCAATATCCCATGGAATGGCAAAAGGACCAACAAATGTGTCTTGGAAAAAGTGCAGGCAGAGTGCTCCTTGGAGGCAAGGACAGCAAAGCTTTGTCTCACACACTTGGGCATGTTGCTAAGAGAGGCTATTTCTAGAAAGGGACATCATGCTTTGAAAGTGAAGGGTTGGAGGAGGACAGAAAGACCTTCAACAAGAGGGTAACTGCAGCAATGGGCTCATGTGTGTCAGATGATGAGGATGGCATAGGACAGAAGTGTCCTTTACCTATTTTAATTGGATTGCTTGTCTTTTTCTTGTTGAAATGTCATTTTCTACAGATCAGCCCCTTGTCAGATATATCAATGTATTTATTCACAATCTCTAGGTTTTCTTTTGGAGAAGTCTTGCTACACATATTGTTGTTGTTAAATGTCATCACATCAGAACCAAGTTATAGCTGACCACCCTGGCTTTCAGAGGCTGCAAATCACACAGGAGAATTTTGTCCATCCTTCTCTTGCAGGAGTGCTGGTGGATTTGAATTGTGTGCCTTTGGTCTGGCTGTGCAACTCCTTACCACTAAAACTCTCTTCAATTTTTCAAATGTCGCAACTGTCTGGTTTATCCTCTACTCCATACATAACAAGGTAACACTGCACGATTTATAATCAAGAAAAGTGTGCATCAGGCTGTATTCTTTCTCCAAAGCTATTCAAACTCAATGCTAGCAAATCATTTAAGAAGTTGGACTGCATGAAGATAAATGCTGCATCAGGATTGGAGATTCATAAATTACCTGTGCTACGCAGATGACACAACCTTGCTTGCTCAAAGTGAAAAGGACTTGAAACACTTGCTGCAGAAGAACAAAGAATATGGCCTTCAATATGATTATATCTCAATATCAATACAATAAAAATCCTTATTAGTGGACCAACAGGCAACAGTCATGATAGGCGGAAAGATTAAAGGTGTCAAAGATTTAGTCTTAGTTGGAGCCCTTGGTACCAAAAGTCAAGAAATCAAAGGAAGTATAGCACTGGGAAAATCTGTCAAGGTCCTCCCCAAGACAAAGATACCAGTTTAAAGATGAAGGTGTGTCTAATTCAAGCCATGGTCTTTTCAACTGCTTGCATCTAAAAGTTGGACAATGACCGAAGATGACAGAATAGTTGTATAGGAAAAGAGTACTGACTATTTATTCCATAGACTGACAAAAGAACAGAGAAGTATGCCTTGGAAAAAGTGTAACCAAAGTACTCCTTAAAAGTAAAGATGGTGAAACTTTGTCTCATATACTCTGGGCATGTTGTTAGGAAGGGCCAACCTTAAGAAATGGATATCATGCTGGGAAAGGTAAGAGGGTCAGGCAGAGAGAAAACCTTCAACAACATGGATTGACACAGTTACTGTAACAATGGGCTCCAGTATAACAGAGTTGATGAAGCTGGCATGGAGAGGGCATGGTCCAGATCTGTTGTGCACCAGGTCACTATGAGGTGTAGCCAACTCAGTGGCACTAAACAACAAGCTGTTTAGTGCCACTAACAATCTATGACAGATTGTTGTTTTTGTTATATGTTAAACAACAACATGTTGTTTAGTGCCACTAACAACAATCTATGACAGATTGTTGTTTTTGTTATATGTGCCATTGGGATGGAACTGAGTCACAGCTGACCCTTCAATGGGTTTTCAGAGGCAGTAAACTGAAAAAGAGAAGACTGTCCATCTTCC